GGGGGGGGGGGGGGGGGGGGGAGAAAGCTTCGTATGCGTGGCGCTGTCAAAAAAAAGAAAAAGAAAAAGGCACCAAAACAGTTACAGCTTGCCTATGTCCTAAACTGATTCAAAATTGAAATCACTATATCCGCGCACGAAAAGGACGACGTGGGAAAAGAAAGTCCTACGCCTACTCATATCCTCACAAAATTATGAGAGTTTTCCCCAACGCGGCCGAGAACATTCACACACAAAAAGGACACGTCGAAGTTTCGCTTATCCCGGAATTCCCAACTGTCGGACCCAATTCCCAGTGCGCTCGCTAAGGTGCGCGTAAATTCCTATGCATTTCCCGAATTGCAAAAGAAAAGCAAAACCGAAGAATCACAAAAGCTTCCGGAAGATGGGGGTCCAAAACGAGGCGCCCGAAATCAAGAAAACAAACGGGGTGCTTGTAGGGTCAGTATGATACAAGAAAAATTCAAACCAAAGGGGTACGAAAGATAGCACAGGTTCGGGAAGTAGTTCGTCACATATGTGATGCGCAGGGGGTTCCAAAATTATGCAATCTCCTGATTGCATGTCACGGCAGAGAAGGAAGGAGGGGGAAGAGTGATGCATGAGGAACGGAGCAGATAATCGCGCCGAGTTCATGTTGACGCCAACTTCAATTGCCATCTCTTCGTGAGTCCATGGGTTCGTGCTGCTGGAATTGTCGGAGGTCGTCTAGGTGACGCCATCATTGTCCCCTGGTTCTCCGTGTGCTCTACACCCCGGCTCGTCGTGGCCCGTCGAATCAGAGCATAGGTTGGCGTCATCGTCGATGGAGTGATCTTCGCGAAGCTTACTGATTCGTGTCGTTCTCCCCTGTCGATTGGGTGAAGGTAGAGAGAGGGGGGGGGAGAATAGTCATGCGATTGGGTTTTACCGCCTTGTTGGAATGGGCCAGTAGAGGCGGTACATGGAGGGAAGTCCGCAGGGACGACGGGGAGGAAGTGGGGGTAGGCAACGATTCAACCCTTCTACTGTCACCGGAAGTTCCTCATAGCGAATGATCCGGTGAAAACGAGGGAAGCGATCGCCGCTATGAGGGAGAGAGGCGAGGTAGTCGCGGTAGAGGGAGGAGAGGGTGCGGAAGAGCGTTGCGCGAAAGAAATCGTAGTGGCGACAGACGGGGATCGTCCCCGTGGCTACGCAGTAGACTTCTACTACGTTGCACTGCTCCCACGCAGCGCTGAACAACAGGATATGTAGACAGAACGTGGGGGCAGCGGGCTGAAGGGAGCGGTGAGGGTAGACGGTAGCGATTAGGCGCGTAGAGTAGAAATCACGGAAGAGATGGGGATGGAAGGGGTGGCGGGGGAAGGTGACGGGGGTGTGGATCTGCTTAAGGGTGAGGTAATCAAGGGGACGGCGGGATAACGTCCAGGGACGAAGGCCTATCCCCTGCATCGGTACGTGGACGAACTGGGGGACGGATGGGGCTGGAGGGGGAGGAGGATCGGCTCCGTCTCCGCCGTGAGGTGCTTGGGGTGGCGGCTGCTGGGTCGCCATCTTCGGGCTTCGGCGGCTCCAGATTTCTGATTGGATCGTCACCGATGCGCAGGCTTGCTCCGCTGGCGAACTCCAGCTGGCGTTTTCCAGTGGCAATTTCTTCCCGCTTGCATGCTGGCTCAGGATCTTCTGCCTCCGTGCCAGTACGCGTCGCTTCCTCCGGCGAGGCTTCGCACTCAGACCCGGTTTCTTCTTCCTTTTCTTCTTCTTCTTCTTCTTCTTCTTCTTCTTCTTCTTCTTCACTCTGCTTGCCCTTGCTATACTCGCTATAGCTTCCCTCTTCCGATGTTTCCTCATCGTCGTCACTTTCCTCCCCTTCTATCACCACCTCCTTTGCCTTCGGATAGAAAGCGTGATCGATGATGCCGTATGGCTTCAGATACTCCTGCCGCGACGGTAAAGAGTCTTCGTCACCAGGCTCTTCCAAGCATGCACTCCACTGAAGATACGGATCCAACGTTCGCGTGAGTACGTGCGGAGCGGGGCTGTCGTCGCTTTGCGAAACGATGTCAAGAGTGAGATCGTCCGCCAGTTGCACGATCGGCGCTATGAGTTCTTGAGTGATTAGCTGGAGATGACCCGGCCGCACCGATCCGAAGAGAAAACCGAGGAGATCACCCTCCGCGTTAGTCCTCCAAGCTTGTATGATCAGTAATTCCAGACTTTCGAAATACGCGGGATGGTCGCTGGTCCGCGTCCACGTCACCTTCACTCGAGCCAAACACATGGACAGTTCGACAAAGGTCTCGCGCCAAAGTCGCCAATGCCCGGGATTAAGAAGCGGGATGGAAAGGGGTTCGATCGAGAGGGAAATATGAGGATGAAGATCGGACTGCCAGAAGGTACGGAAAAGAGAGGGGAGACCGAAGATGGAGAGAGGAGCGAGGGGGGCGGCGCGGTTCATTGGGGCATGGGAAAGCAACGAGGGCGGGGATCGCAACCGCTGGCTCGCGCGGAGAGAGGCGGACCCCGTCAAGATCAGGTGCAAAGGTCGGGATGAGATGTGCCCTGGTCGGGCAAGACCGTGCTGCCACACGTTGGACACCTGCTCCGTCCACTCTCGCAGCGAGGTCAAGATCGCGGTATGCCATAGTGGATTGACCGTACTGATATCGCCGCTGAAAGCCGCGACTGTGGTGACGTGGCTCGTTTGGGGAGCCGCTCGCCGATATACTGCTACCACCTCCGCCAATACTATTGCCTGCCGACTCCCTTCGAATCGAAACGTGGTGGCTGCACACACACCCACGTCGCAGAAGAACTGCGCCAGACGCCGAAGATCCGTACTAAGCCGTGGATAACGAACTTGCCGAATTTCCGAGATGTGGCCACGTGGCTGCAACAGTTGATCATCGAGAGCCCACTCCGTGATGAAGCTCATGGCGAGGACGGAGAGGAAGACGAAGGGCAGGAGGGAGAGAGCGGAGAGAGAGTTAGATCGTCGTCGTTCTCCTCGCCTTCGGAGGAGGAAGAAGGGGGAAGATCAGAGGGAGGGAGAGGTCGGAGGTAGGAGGTATGTCGGACGATGGGGACAGAGTTATGGCTGGCACTAACCTCGGGCGCGATACGCACTGTGTTGGCGCCGTTGGGTCCGAGCTCGACAACGCGAAAACAACCAGAAAACTTGGGAGCGAGTTTCTGGTCGCGTGCACATTTACGTACCTGCACCAGGTCCCCTAATTTATATTGATGCTAGGGCACCGTGGGCCAGATCGGTCATCCTCTGTCTTTTTCGGGCTAGCTTCGGGATGGCCCGTTCCATTAAATCGGTATACCTTTTGGCCTTGGCCTTGAGGGTGGCACGCTTGTCTCTGCCCCCTGCTTTGGTAATTTCCGAGTTACCCGGTAGTCGACATAGGGGAGGCTATTAGTGCGAAGCTGAAAGGGGGTGAACCCCGTGGACTCATGAGGGGTGGCCCGGTGAATTCCGACGATCTGATACACGATCTCGGGCCACGGACGCGTGTCATGTGCCGCTAAATTCCTGCGAAGGGCGGTTTTAATCATACGGTTGGCATTTTCGACCAACCCGTTCGACTGAGACACGTGGGGCGCCGTATGTCGGAGCGTGATGCCCCTTCGCGCGAGCAGTTCCTCTACTTCGCCCTTGAATTCGGACCCATTGTTGGTCAGAATTTCTTCCGTATCTAGATGGGTATAGAGGAACCGATCGATGTACGTGGCTATTTCCGCGGCCTTGCGGGTCTTGTAGGGGTAGACCTCGATGTACTTGGAAAAATGATCTATTAATACTAAAAGGATAGAATATTCACAGCGGTTTGGGCCAGGTGGCACGTCAATATCTGTCGTGTCCATACTGACTCGCTAAAAGGGGCATTCTACTTCCGTTGGTACTATCGTGTTCGGTCCCCGTATTGGGGCGCAATCAGCGGCACAGACCACACAGTTGGCGACAACGTATCTGACATCATCTTGTATATTGGACCAGAACTATTGGTTTTGGTCTATAGTTGCCTCCGTGACACGTATCGCGAAATGAGCGGCCTGTTCTTCGTGAGCAGATCGGGTCCAATCATATCTCTGGAATGGATGAGGAACCGTCAACCACAAACCCGATCGGTCAGTTTTACGCTTCTCCAAATGACCGTTGATCCATTGATAGTCCCGAGATCTCTCGGTAGCCCTACGTCTGTCGTGTTTGGTGAGGTGACCCAATGATAATCCCGCTAATTTAGCTAATAAAATTTTATCCGTCCAAACCTCCGCCCGACGGTATTTCTCGTCATATTCAGGTCCGTCCATTCGGGCGGCCTCGAATCGAACCTCTATGGGAAGTTTGGCCGTTCTACACAGGGGGCACCTCCACTCCTTGCTACTCGTCCGATAGCGAACGCAGGCCCCGTGTGCACAATTGACACACGCGGCACATTCTACCCAATCGACAAACCCGGTTTCGAAAGGATGACAGTCAACCCTATAAACCCGTGCAATACATGTACAGAAATAGCAGAATTTATTGGGGAGGGTGGCAAAGAAAGCGGAGGAGGTGAGAGGGGCAGAATTAGTAGGAGAAGAGGGGGTCGCAGAGACGGGTGGGGTAGTCATGATGGTGGAGAGGGAGAGATGGGACTGAATTGCAGAGGGGGAAGAACAAAAAATGGACCCCGTGTCACTTACTCCTTTGACAGGATCTCCACTTGGCCGTACCGAGGTCCGTTCTCCTTCTTCGGTTCGTTCCACGGAATCACCTCCTCATTCTTCGGAACCTTCTCAGGTCGGTGCAGTCGTGTCAATCTGTCCGCATTCCCGTGCCTTTCGTGTTTCCGGTGACGAATGTCAAAGTTCATGCTGTGCAGCACCGTTGCCCATCGCCCGATCATGCCCGAGTAATCCTTAGATTTCTTCAGGGCTAGCAGAGGCTCATGATCGGTTACCAGTGTGAACTTCTGCCCGTACAAGTAAGCTCGAAAGTGACTGATTCCCCAGAGGGCCGCGTAGCATACTCCTGTTGGAGCGGCGTAGTTACGCTTGCAGGCGGGCACCGATTTGGACGCATACTCCACCACGTTCTCAAGTCCGCTTGGTCCCACCTGGGCTAAGATCGCCGAAATTGCCTCTGGCTGCGAGTCAGTAATGAGGACAAAAGGCTTTTCGGGATCCGGCCTTATAAGGACCGGGACCGAAACGAGGGCGGCCTTGAGTTCCGAAAACGCTTAATCACACTCCGGCGTCCAGATCAACAGCTGGTCTTTTCGCAGCAGATTCGTGAGGGGCCCCGCAATCGTCGCGAAGCCCTTGATAAACCTTCGGTAGTACGAGGCCAGACACAGAAAGGCGCGAACCAGCGTAATAGTCGTAGGCACCGGCGCAACTCTGACAACTGCCACCTTCTTCGGCTCCAGTCTAAGTCCTTGATCTGTTACCACGTGTCCTAGAAAGGAAATGGTGAAAAGGAAAAACTAACACTTCTCGAACGCCACCTTGAAACCAGCATCTCGTAACGCATGCAACGCCCATTCGATGTGTTGCACGTGCCCTTCGTAGGAACTCGAGTACATCAAAATGTCATCCATGTACACAATCACACAGTAGTTAACGATACTCTGCGCCAGACGAGTCTTCCGCACAAAGTTCTGAAAGGCCATGTTCATGGCTCGCTGGAAAGTTGTGGGAGCATTGCAGATACCCATCGGACATCGAATCCACTGCCCCGTACCTTCGAAGAGTACGAACGCAGTCTTCGGGCGATCTTCTTCTTGAACAAGAAGATGATGGAACCCATGGCGAACATCAAACTTGCTGAAAAATCGAGCACTCCCAATCGCATCCAACAACTCGTCAATCCGGGGGAGAGGGTACACATCCTTGATCGTGATATCATTCAACTTTCGATAATCGATGCAAATGCGAATTCCTCCGGCCTTTTTAGGCACAATCACTACGGGAAAAGACCATGGTCCTATAGCAGGTTCGATCCATCCATTAGCTTCAAATTCTTTGATCCGCTGAAAAGCGGCCGCTCTTTGAGCTGGTCAGTACCTATAAGGAACGCAACTAATGGGTGGATGATCCCCCGTGAGAATGGCATGTTCAATCACGTTAGTTAGGCCGATATCATTATCACGCAAACTCAATACTTCCACGTAGTCATTCAAAATACTAATTAGCGACTTTTGGAGTTCGGTGGGGACGTGGTTTGAGAGGGAGATTGTCGGTCGTCCAGGGATCTGAAGAGATATGTCGACCCAATCGGCCGGCCTTTCCCGTCGCTCATGGACACTGGAAAAAACGGAACTACTGGTGTGAACAGAGAAAACAATCGCAATCATCTGCGATTCAGCAGGGATGATCATTTCGGTTTCCTTGGCTTCGGCATCAGTCTCTGAACTGGCCGATGTTTTTTCCACAGTTAGTCCTGTTAGATCCGCCATCTCCTGCATCAGATCGGGTACGCCGCCTACCGGTGCTTCGACCTCTTGTTTAATCAAAGCGATGGCCGCTCCCATTGTTAGCAAGGATCTTGGTGGGAAAACAGAAACATCCACATATTGTTTTGTCTGTTGGTAGCGTGCTCGTAAGCGCTCCCTCGTACAAGGTGCGAGGGGGTTCCAAATCATTTGCTAGGTCAGATACTTGCAAGATGGGTTCCCCGAGAAGGGTTAAAGGACTGACCCGGGTTTCCGAATCGCAGTGGAAGCTTCGGGCGGTTCTGGGGCACACTCGAAACTCTTTGGGGATTTCGTGCTCGAAAAGTTCGACCAGGTGCTTCCATTCATCCTCACTAGGCATTTCTTCTTCGTACACCTATTCCCCGATTCCGCTACGGATGTCCGAGGAAGAAGGTTCCTCGGGATTGAGGCCTTGAATCATCCCTACTTGGGCAGGGTTAGGAGTTCGTTTTACCGTCCGGGTGGAAATCCGCAAAGGGACTGTCTGAGGCTTTCCCCCGATTTGCGTGAGCACCAGTTGTTTGGAGTCCAAATGCAGACGAGCACTTACCACCATCGCCCAAGGTAATCCTAACAAAACAGAATAGCAGCGCACATCTATCACTAGTGCGTTAACAAGGACGTGTACTCGTCCGACCTTCACAGCCACATTCTCAATAATACCTACGATGTTCATTGCTTCCTCGTCGGCAGAGACATAATTGTCTTTGCCAGATTGAGGAAGAATGGATCCGAGTCGTTCTGTCTTTCTTACTGTGTCTAAGGATATGGCCACTGCAGAAGACCCAGTATCGATAAGGGCGTTAAACGGTTTGCCCCAAACTTCACAATCACACTCATCGCTTTTCCACAACACTGGTCGAGCTCGTACAAAGTGATCCTTCTCTGCCAACGAAATCGCGGCTACTCGTGCTGCTACGGGTTCACCTGTTTCAGGTTCAGGTGGTGCAACCTCCTCACCTCCTTCCGTCTTCTTCAACATTCGCTGTAATCGCTGGTAAGTGAAGCGCTTTTGATTTTTCTGGCAATGTTGCAGGAGTTTATCGTTTGCAGCTTCGGAGATGGTGAGCAAATGCCCCACCGAGATCGGAACACGGATATACAGCTGCCTAAGCGCTCGTAATACATCAATTTCTCCCGTCCGAAACTGTGGACCGGGATTGGATTCGCGATCGACCCATTCAAGATCATCATGGGCCGATCGGATCGCTCCGACCATTCCGGCGAGATGAAGGTACTCGAGTGGATCGACCACATCAGCAGCGTCGGAGGAGGAAGAAGCTCCCGAGGTTGAAGCAACTGCCATTGAGGGGGAGGGTTGCTCATATGCAACAAGTTCCCCTCCTTGAGCCGTATCCATCAGTGCGGCCACTCGTCCTTGGTTCAGAGCTACAGGGGCCGCGGCTGGTGGGGGTTGATTACGTTTCGTTTGTGGACATTCCCGGGCAAAATGTCCGGGCTGCTTGCAATTAAAATACTCGACCTTTCCTGCTGGATTAGCTGGGTGAGGGAACTGTGGGGCGTACCCAGGTGTAGGCGGGGCAGGCAAGAGGGGAAATGACGTAGGGGCAGGTCGAGCAGGGGCCGGGTTGGGCTTAATTAACCGACTCATTATCTGTTCCATCCGCTCCATGTGAGTTGCCTGCATTTGAACCAGGTTGCTCATCCATTCTGATTGCTTGGTGGTGGCCATATGGATCATTTGTGCAAGATGTAAGTTTGTTACGACCTGAGAAGGAGAACCGTTGGGGATTATGCTTCTGACTGCCGCTACCTGTGGATTCGTTGGGGGCAAAGACGACGAAGCTAACAAGATATCAGAGGCGGTCCCTTCGGGGAGGTCATGGGGATAAAACCATTCTACCGCCCGTAACCATGATTGCCTTTTAGCTGCTACATCCTGTATCGTATCTGTGATGTCTTCGTCTCCCTGACTCATATATTTCTTTGTATCGGCCAGGTCTAACTCGAGGGTTTTTGCGATGATAGCCGATAGCTGGTGAGTTTTCGGGGAAACCTTTTTCTGTAACTTCCCTTTCAACGTCGGACTTCGTAGATGATCGATGAACAAATCTCGAGCGGATTTCTCATCTCGCCCAGATTTATCCAACGTGGTTTGAAATCGATCCACGAAATCAGGCAGCAATTCCCCTGGTCCTTCAAGACGATTTTTGAGTACGTACCAGGCGGCATCTTCACTGACCGTATCGAATTGGGCCAAGAACGCTTGTTTGAAAGTATTCCAATCTACCCACGTGTGCTTTCTGAACCAGTCACGCGACGTATTGCGAAGTAGCAAGGTAAGAACGCGGAGAAGATCACCCGCGCTGTATCCTTGAGCTTCGACGGCTTCCAACCAATTTTCGGGGTGGGTATGGTTAGGGAAGAAGGGGAAGGGGGCAGGAATGCTAACAACCACCCTATTACCGTCTGCCATTCGCATGGTGGGTGCAATCGCACTAGATCGAGACCTCGTCACTGGGCGGTCTCTTCGAGCTGGCTGAGGGCTTCTTCTACCTCTCGCCAGTTCGACTTACTATCATCAGAACCGACACGTGTCGGCTCCAATACCAACCTCACGCCCTGTGCTGTCTTTCGTTCGGAGTGTTAGAGCTGCGGAAAAGGGGCCCAGAAAAATAACAAGATGGGGTGTGCCAAGGATTTTTGGAAATTAAGTGTGGGGACACAGACGGAACTGAGATCCCCCGTGTTGGTCCGATGAAGTAAATCGACCGTCTTTCGCACGTTGCAAAATGCGCGCGAGAGTTCGGCGCGAAAGGAGAGAGAAGTACAAATTCAATCCAAAAAGTATTGTCGGACTTCCCACCGTGCTACGACCCTTCGTTTAGAGCGAAAAGGTTTCGACATGCTTCGCGTGTCTCGTCTTCGTATTAAGTCCCGACGTCGTTCACTAGTTAGTTTTAAGTCCGACGTGGAGGGCCTCAGTCGTGTGGCTCTTTCTCTGTGTTCGTCTTCACTCCGTACGCGGTAGTGGAAACCCTTAGATTCGTAGCGCTCAAAGCGATGGCACTCGGTGCATAGAGTGCGAGGCCAGTGGGGTTCTACTGCCGTCCACGGGATGACGATCAACTCTTTAAATGATAACAATATCTAGTAAGGTGGAAAGTGCGTATCGATAATGACAAACCCAGCCTCTACGAACTCTGAACAACGATTTTCCGGAAGGAAGTAATATCGTCCGCCGATCCGTGCGACAGCTTCTCGTACGTGGCACTCGCATACACGTGTCCTTTCCTCGGCGTAAGGAAAAGGTCGCGTTGATACGAGAGATACGGGAGGCTGACGCCCGATCGAAGGGCGTTTGTCAGTCCACATGTCAATCAATTGCAAAAATCCCAAGACGTCATCAAGGAAAAACACTCGCACAACCACCAATCAATTATTTTCGACACGAGAGAGAGAGAGAGAGAGAGAGAGAGAGAGAGAGAGAGAGAGAGAGAGAGAGAGAGAGAGAGAGAGAGAGAGAGAACACTCATCAGCTTGATCATGCATGTAATTGAGGGACCGACCCGCGACTCAGGTTTAGTAAGCCACCGCGGCGTTGATCCCAGGTGCCTTCTTTCTCAAGGCTGCCCTGTAGATCGGTTGCAGATGTCGTGCAGCATAAGGCAGATGGCATGCGCAGTGCATTCAGAACTACAGATCTAAACACTCTTGCATTCTCGAACAAAATCCCGTCGAGTGTGGCGTTTAATCAATACAAAAAGGCAAGCATCTCCATACATATATTCACTGTGGAAGGGGCGAAAATGACCGGGGTGCACAGGTCGGAAATCAACCGAGGGAATTGTACACACGCATCCACCGTTCACAAGACAAGAGGATCAATTCCTCGACATCCGGGGATTACGCAGGAAACTAATGGAAGAGTTCCGAAAGAAGTTCCTTCACACAGGAGAGCACACGAATTCATTCTCATTCAGGAAAGGGACAAACATCAAGACACATAGTCATTCAAAGATAGAGGAGAGAGAGAGAGACGAGGGAGGAAGGTCGAGACAGGAGATGACAAGATCCGAAAAGAGGAAGTTCGGCGTTGCCGCCGTACACTCAGCCAGAAATAAAGATCCGCAACAACAAAGGTGCATTCGTCGTGAATTCCAATATGGCCCCGGGCCAATCAACCACTCAACTCCAATCATCGATCCTCATACCCGCACCGACAATCCCGGTCGTCGCGTGCTAACTCCCAGCACTGCGATCGTCACCCCACCGACGTAAACTCGACGCAGGTCGGCCAAATCCCACAATTCGTCGTGGCGATCAAACGCGCAACCGATCAGCCTATCGTCAGCCCGACAGGACTTTCCGACTCGCACCAAACACTCTGCCTAGCCACTGCTTCCCGGAAGCTGGCTTGGGAGTCSAGAACGTAAGAGAGATTTGCGGGCGCRTTTGCGRAATTTATAGTGGCGAGAAGGGGGGCAAGGGAGAGAGAAGGCAGGGGGAAAATCGAAGTGTAAGAAAAGAAGCAGGAGGAGAAGACTTGGCGGGGAGCGCGCTACGGAAGCCATGTTGATCCTTCGGGACTCTGAGCTTCGCCAATCAGATTCGCCGCGCAATAGGCAGATCCTATCGTACCACGCGTCTGATTGGTGGGCGAGAGTAATTGAAGGATCGATCGGGCTTCTAATTCACGTTCGGAAGGCAAGAGGAAAAAGGGCACGAGAAGTAGTACAAGACGGGTCCAAGATTCAGATGATCAAGAAAGGTAAATGGGCACGCAATCGATCAGAGCGGGAGAGAGAGATAAAAAACAGTTGTGAGAAGGAAGGATGAGAAAGGGGGGGGGAGAAAAGAGCGCGGGAGAGAACGATGCGGGAAACAGGGGGGGGGGGGGGGGGGGGGAGGGAAGAAAGCTTCGTATGCGTAGCGCTGTCAACAAAAAGAAAAAGTAAAAGACACCGAAACAATTACAGCTTGCCTATGTCCTAAACCGATTCAAAATTGAAATCACCATATCCGCGCACGAAAAGGACGACGTGGGAAAAGAAAGTCCTACGCCTACTCATATCCTCACAAAATTCCGAGAGTTTTCCCCAACGTGGCCGAGAATATTCACACACAAAAAGGACACGTCGAAGTTTCGCTTATCCCGGAATTCCCAACTGTCGGACCCAATTCCCAGTGCGCTCGCTAAGGCGCGCGTAAATTCCTATGCATTTCCCGAATTGCAAAAGAAAAGCAGAACCGAAGAATCACAAAAGCTTCCGGAAGATGGGGGCCCAAAACGCGGCGCCTGAAATCAAGAAAACAAACGGGGTGCTTGTAGGGTCGGTATGATACAAGAAAAATTCAAACCAAAGGGGTACGAAAGATAGCACAGGTTCGGGAAGTAGTTCGTCACACGCTCGTGCGCAGTTTTTCTTTCTTTCTTCCCCCCTCTCCCTGCCGCACCCATTTTTTCCCGTTCATTTTCTTTTTCTTTCTTATCTGCACTTTCGATTGATTTTTATTTTTATTTTTCTAAAAGCTATGTTATTCTCTCAATATCACCTCACACTACCTGCCTACCACTAATCCTAATTATAGGCGTACGGGGAACCCCGTCGCAGTCAGAACCGTGTTCACCAAAGAACATGCGGAGGCTGCTCCCTACCTGCAGGTGGGCAATACCGACTAGGGGGCAACCGGTAGCATCAGGGACCATGCCAACAAGACCAATCCCTATGCCTCCCCTCAGGTCCCCTCCCCTACGAACATCAGCAGACTCTGCTCAATGCCGATTGGGGGATCCAGTGGTCTATCTCTAGGTGTCGGGCGCCCAGCATGCCCATGAAGGTACATGAGGCCAATGGGGATTGAACCCACGACCTCTTGAATGCCACTTGTGTGCCTTACCAGCTGAGTTAGGTCGCTTTTTTTCTTCTTTTGTTTCTTAGTTTTCTCTCGTGTCGGTCATTTAGTGCACCGACCCCCGTCCGACGTGGCGCGTGAACGACCTCGTCGGAGAAAAATAATTGGGCGAGGTATTGGTGGTTTAAGGGCATTCATGCTGGCGCCTCAAGGCTCAAATGGGCTTAGTTCAATTTTTATCCCCTTTGTGGTCCTCCCCCTTAAAAAAAAAGAAATACCTGATGCTTGGAGCGTTTTTTCTTTCCAAAACATAGATGATACCAGTTGCCTGCAACTCTAAAGAAACCCTGCTAGTGGAGCCCGTTGCTGCTTGCTAAGGCTCCTCTAAAGTAGCACTTGCTGACAACCGGGGTCATTTGTTTTTTCCTTCCTTTTTTTCCCAACCACTCCCCAGACACTTATCTCTAGGGTTGTAAATGACA